ATCTTTGCAGTAATTGGACAGAATAAATTTAAAGTTTTCTACACTCCTAGACACTATAATTGCACAAAAAATAGTTTATAAATGCAAAAAAAGTGCATTTAGCATGATATGTCTCCTTTAAACGCTCCCAACCCTGGTCCTCATGGCCCACTGTCTTCCATGTTTTAGCTGTTTGTCTTAAATTTGGACATGTTCCATTTCTGTAAACCTATGTGAAGTAGATGGAAAATATTAGAAAATTTGATGGAAATTTTTCAAAGCACATGTCCATTTTGTCTTTAGCTTTATGCCATTTGCTGGCTAAAAATAGCAAAAGAAAAAAAAACTATTGAGTAAAACACGTTTTTCTTCTGTTTATTTGTCCCACAATCCTTTAGCAACAGCTTCAAAACCAAATATCTTGATTTGTCCTAATCCTCTCTGTAAAAAGCACGTTATAGTCCTAAATAAAATGTTTCAGACAGGATTATGTCAGATTAAAATCAGAACTAAGGTGTAATAATTCAGTTAAAAATGTATAAAAATGGTGTCAGATTGTGTTTGTTATTGGAGTCATTGATATGTAAAGATGGCTCTGGCTCATTTTCACACCATTTCTGTACATGACTCATCTAAATTATTCTACTCCAGTTAAACACAGATGARTAACAAGATGATGTTATAACTAGAATTATCAGTTTTTAAAGAACAATTTTGTTGCAACACTGTGAGTGACACGATTTATTATGATTTTTTTTACTTTCCTTTACAGATARACATGGGCAGCCTGGGTGTTTGGGCCGTGGCTGTGGCTGCTCTGCTGGGAACATCGGGTTGCTGCCTGGCTGAAGGGCACAGGAGCAGCAGACGAAACAGTGTGGATACAGCCACCAAGTCACACAACTCCTACAAGGAACTGCACACTGTGGTAAGTTTTATGATGACTATCTTATTATTTTCTTTTTTTTTTTAGAGAGAAAATGTTGCCTGATCACATTGTTGAGAAAACAGGATAACTTTGCAAAGAAAATGKTTGAAATTCTTTCAGCTTTTGTGAATGTCCTTTTGATTTGTACAACATAAGACACTGAGGATAAAACATTAAATAAGTTATCAATGTATGTGTATGTAAAAACAGTATGTTTTGCTCTTGAGACCACAAACTAGTCTGTTATTAGCTGAGRGGTTCACTTGGTATTTCCATAACCGATATCCTGGTATTTATTAATTTCATATATTTGTAGTTGACATTCATATTTCYAACTTGTGATTTGAGCCTAGAAGATATGTCTTTGACATCAGCTAGAATAAAATGTGTGGATATGGATTATTGTTTTTCCCTTTTTTATATGTATGCTGCTGGGAGACAAATGGCAAATGGAAAAAAAAGATTCACAAGATGCTTTGTCGCTTGCACTAATTAATAATGATCACCGTTGGGGAGGAAAAAACCTTCACTTGTCAATAGTCAATCTGACTGTCAATCGATACAGGACTGGTTTCAGTGGTCGGCTTAATTAACACACAGTAATGGATGAATGCACAAAAAGGTGGATTAATGTGTGCTGTACCTCCTAACACTTTTTTTGTACTTTGGTRGGTAAATAGGAAAAGTACATTTAAATTATTTTATTAACTTTTTAAATAAACTAACTGAAGTCTTTATAAGCAAGTTTATGAAGACACTGGTGGAAGCTACACTGCTTGGCCAAAAAAAAAAAATCACACTAATATTTTGTTGGACCACCTTTGGCTTTGATTACGGCACACATTGGCTGTGGCATTCTTTGGAAAAGCTTCTGCAATGTCACAAGATTTATTTCCATCCAGTGTTGCAGTAATTTTTTACTAAGATCTTGCATCAATGATGGTAGAGTCTGACCGCAGCACAAAGCCTTCTCCAGCACATCCCAAAGATCCTCAATGGACTCCGTGGAGCCAATGTGTGAAAATGATGTCTCATGCTCCCTGAACCACTCTTTCACAATTCCAGCCCCATGAATCCTGGCATTGTCATCTTGGAATATGGCCGTGCCATCCGAGAAGAAACAATCCATTGATGGAATAACCTGATGGAATACCTGCTCATGCAGTATTTTCAGGTAGTCAGCTGACCTCATTCTTTGAGCACAAACTGTTGCTGAACCTAGACCTGACCACCTGCAGCAACACATCATCATAGACCTAGTTAAATCCTGGTGGACACTTATGTTTTTGGCTGGGCAGTGTATGTGAGAATTGTTGRCACAGCAATAAAAACACATCAAGGATGCACCTCTGTACAGCAGAAACATGGTTTCATAAATTGTCAAAAGAGATCTACACAGACAGATGCATACCACAACACTCAGCAGACATGTTAATTCCTTATAAAATCAACCCTATAAATTGGCTGTTTTCCTCTCACTCTTTTCGGGTTTTGCCAAGTTGGYCGTCTGATATAGAATCCCATTTCCCCTCCTGAAATCCCTTGTTGCAACAAACAAATTCCCTTGCATTTCACCATTTGTTTATCTGTCCAAAACTGAAACTCTAATGGTGCAAAAATTTAAAGTCAACTGGAGGGTGAGTCGTGCAGATCCATTAATTCACATCAGTGCATTCTCAAAGCCTCTGGGAATGAATGAAGTGTGACAGTTTATTTTTTCTATTAAATCTGCTCATCAACAATGTACAACAGATTTTCTTAGGGATGGAACAGACAGCGTAAAGGAGGGGTGAAAAATTTATCAAAGCAGTCCAAATTCTTTTGTTAAAGCGCAGTGAAAGAGATGAACATGTAGGATTTTTGGAAGCGACATATTTCACAGTAAGATTATGATTTTGTTTGGGAGTAGCATCTTTCAAAGAACAAAGTGGTTAAGTGATTTTTTTGCAACAACCACAGAGAAACACTGTGCTCATTGGATTAAAGGCTTAGGAGTAAGAGGGTTATGCATTAAACAAACAAGGACAAACTATGATGAAAACAAACAAAAGGGAATGAAAATGGCTCTCTGTTCATGATTGCAGATTGCTCTTCATTTTCATTTTTTAAAATGAGGCTATCCTTACTGAATTTATAATTTGATTTTGACTTGAATCTAGAGTATTACTTTTTGCTTCTGTTCGCAGAAAGTTTTTCTTGTTTCAAAAATCCTTTTGACTAATAATAATGATGATGTGGACATCATTATTTGCACTGAAATCTGCAAAAACCTTTAAGTCTGAAGGATCWTATGCAGTGGCTGTCATGATATTTACTGTATTTTGTTTCAAACAGTGACTTGGCTCACCATATCTGCTTCTCTTTCTTTAAACTGAAGCTCTGTAAATGCACAATCTGAAACAGGTCAAATATTGTTCGTAAAGTTTTTTTTATTTTTTCGGAGTTCCTAAAAGAGCTGAGCTGCTACTTTGTTTTTTTCATTCAAAGCAACAGAAAAGGAAAATATGTAGAAATACTCGGATTCAGCTTTCCTTCTCACTGAAACAAGCCTGATAAATTTAGACATCACGAGTAGCTGGCAAACAAGGATTTCACTCTTGCATTTACTTTTAAAGTAAATAGAAAGATGTCTACAGACATATGTAGCCAGAGTATTCTTGAAGGAAAACTGCATGCAAAGATGTGAGTGGGCTGTGGATTCAAAGACAGACCCACAGTCTGAAGGCATACATGCAGGCAGGTGGGGAATTAAATAAGCTTTTATTTTAAAACAAAAACTGAAGGCAATGCAGTGTCAGAAACATCCAGATTATAATCATATAAAACTAGACAGCCTGAAGCACAAAACCTTTTCAGTTGAAATGTGAATTTAATCTAAATAAGGACAAAGATCTTTTTATTTCTAAACATATTGTGCTGAACAGCAAACCAAGTGGGCTAATTTGGATAATTAAAACCAAGTGTGCAGGAAGTGAATGTAACGGAAAGTTACTGTAACTGATGCAAAACGTGAAACAAAGAGCAGCAAACATGAAGCAAAGCAAAAAGGTAAGCAAAATGATACCTACCTTTTAATTTATATTTAAAGACTGACATTGCATTGGCAATATTTTTGTGTGAAAACACAAATAAAAAAATTCTGACAAACTCTCTGCCATTAGATTCTTTAGATTTTGGTTTAGGTTTTTGATACAAGTTTTAATTTTATCACATAATCTGCCTTATACAATTTTTAGATTCTAATTCAACACACCTGCAGTAACTCTTCACCATCTTTGAATTGCTAAATATTTAGTTTGTTTAAAAAAGTTGCACATTTTCTTGCAGATGTGAGTTGTTTGTATGTTTAAGTTAGTTAAATAATTTCTCCATTTGAAAATTTTAGCTTTTAAATTTCTTTGTGGTAGCACAAACTGTTGCATTTAATCAAATTATTCTGAAGGTTGAATGTGGTTGGAAACAAATTTTCAGGGTAGTAGAATCTAAAGTGACATTTAAAAAATCTAAAAAAGGTATTTTTTTCTACTAAAAGACTAACTGTGTGAATAAGAAGAAGCTTGTTATAAATCAGTTGATTTTTAATTTTAAAAATCTCCCTTCAAAATAAATGTTTTCTCTGCTGCTGACACTTTGCCTGCTCACCACATCAGAGGAATAATTTCTCTCTCTATACAACTGGTAAATACATATATGCATCTACATCAGACATTGCACTGCAATATGTATTGATGCCTTTATTTTGATTTTAGTTTTTTGTTTTTAGATTTTTTGCAACAGTGATTCAAGCTTAAAAGTTAAATAAATGGGAAATGGACTGTACTTATATAGCGCCTTTCTATCCATCCAGGACACTCAAAGAGCTTTACACTGCAGACATTCACCCATGCACACACACATTCACACACTGATGATGGCAAACTACAATTGTAGCCACAGCTGCCCTGGGGCGCACTGACAGAGATGAGGCTGCCATACACAGGCGCCACCAGACTCTCTGACCACCATCAGTAGGCAAGGCGGGTAAGGTGTCTTGCCCAAGGACACAACGACTGAGTCGACTGGACGGGAATCGAACCTGCGACTTTCCGGTTCCAGGTCAACTCCCCTAACCACTCTACCACAGCCACCCCAAATAATGCAAGTCAAGCAGATTCAGGCTTCTCTCTTTCTAATTCTGGCACCTTTTGGCATTGACCCAATTAAAGATGGCCACCTCAGCTAACTGACATACAAAAATGACTAGACCTCAGTGAATTTTATCAATACTGAAAAATTGGTGTGGTAGAAGCTGATGTTCATTCACATCACAAACTCAAAGCACTAACAGACCACGCAACTAATTGCAGTATTACATGACTTGCTCTTGTTATTTTTAAAGTAGTGCTGGGTAGGGATGTCTCGATCAGATACTCAGGATCCGTACCGGTGGCAGATATGGCCATTTTTTGAAAATCGGGTAGAATCAGATTTAGTCMTGTGATCGGGCCGATCCAGTTTTCGTGACAGTTTTCAGCATCATCGTGCTTTACAACTGCCGTTAAGAAGTCAAGACGCACACAAGTATGCAACCATGTCCACAGTGTGGGAAAACTTTTCACTGGAAAACAATGAGAATGACAATGAAATGAACAATGAAACTGCATCTTGCAAAATCTACAAACTGGGTGTTTCTCGTGGTGGGAACAGCAGGACTCACTTTAATACTACCAACCTTGTCACTTGGAAAGAAATAAAGAAATAAAGCTATTGGATCGATGTCGAAGAGATTATTCAATAAAAAAAATCGGATTGAATTGGGAGCCAAAAAAGCTGGATCGGGACATCCCTAGTGCTGCGCATAGATTAAATTTTTTTATCGCAATTAATCTCAAGGTATTTTTGCGATTAATCACGATTAATCTAACTTTTTTTCTTTTTTTCCCCCACAATCACTTTACTATGGCTGAATATGTAGGTTTGTACATTGCAATACACTCCAGATTTTTATTTTTATCTTCTTATTTATTTATGTTTTGCTGACAACTGTGACCTTTTAGTATCTATCTTTCATTCCTCATGTGGTACTCATTTGGAATGAAAAAAATGGAATTCTTGATTTGACCTCATTATTCTGCACAACATTTAACTGACTCAAAGATGTTACGTAGGAGCATTTTTAGGTCCTGTTTTATATTCAAAAAAGGGGCAATGCATTAAAATTTTTTTAAACAAATAAAGCAAAGCAAGCCCCCCACCCCCCCCCCCCCACCCCCAACACACTTCTCAACCTCATCTGCAGAACCTGCAGTTTACACTGGTTTTAAACTGAAGTGATGTTTCAACCTCGAACTGCTTCAGTGATGAGATAGTTTAGAGTTGCAGAGCTTACAGAGAACTTAACTTTTTTCCAGCCCACCATTGGGAAAAGTTTTTAAATGAAAAATGCTCTGAAGAATCTGATGACCTCCGCCATGTTTCTGCACCGGTTGAGGTTGGGTTCATGAGAGAGGCTGCGAGTTGCCAAGCAATGGCTCGACAACAAAGGCTCTCATTGGATGAGATGTGGGACGAAGGCCATCCAAACCAATAGTGATCAAGATCCCGCCTCACCGCTGTGACCACTGAGTTTGTTTGTGTGTRTGTTAGCTGCCCAGTGAACAGAGATCTGACAGGAAAATATTAATAAATAACTGCGTTAACGCGTTAATGCAGTCGCCGCTTAACGGCAATAATTTTTTAACGCACATTAACATATTAACGTGCCCAGCACTATTTTAAGGATTAACCAAAATGGTTATAATGTTGTCCTTTCTCAACACAAGCTGAGMTTAATGTAAAACTAAAAATATATATATTTTTTTTCAGTGAATGCTAGGTCCTAGTGGATTTGTCCTGTTTGCTCAAATGAACTTCATGTGGGATCTTTTTAATTTCTGCATTAAACACAACCCTGCAGTTCCAACTAGACAAATAAAGCTAGCTTAATGTGATAAAGCAGTTGCTTTAAGCATACATCTTTCAGTATTTTTAGAAAGAAGCGCTCTCTTTCACCTAAATGCTTGGTTTGTTTCTTTAATCAATTGATCAAACAGCTACCCTGAAGATAAGACAGTGCTGATGAGCACCCTCAGTTTTATCCTGCCAACACAAGGAAGCATGTCTGCAATTTAGATGGACAGATGACAAAGAGAGCAAAGGGAAGGGGATAGAGATATAGAGGTAAAGATGGAGCAATGACAGAAAGCTTACCACTTCAGCTTTTCTCATGAGACATTGGGTCTCCTGGGAGACACCATGCTGTGCTGGTGGGGGGGGGGGACTCGCAGACATGCAAACTTTATCACTGAGCCTCATTACCAGTGGCATCTATGCTGAAGGGACAAGAATGCAGAATGTCACTGCACTTCCAATTGCTGCTGCATATTTGGGTGTTCAAACGTGGCGTTGCATCGAAAGACCTTTATCTGTTCTATTTTTAAACATGTCGATTGCTTGTTTTTCCTGTGCTAAAATAATTGGCATCTTAAGTTGACATATTTATGCAAGTCTTTGAGCTATAAAAAGCACATGTGATCAGTCACTAAAAAGCACACAATGCACATCAAAGCAGTCACCCTATGCATAACATCACACATGCTCTATATATAAAATTAGATGCACAAGAAGTGACAAAAGATGCTTAACTAGACCATGGAAACAAAGCTTTCATTCAGCCAGATTTATACTTATCCTGTTTCAGTATTTTTAATGTAAAAGACAGTGTCCCTCTCTACTAAATCTTTTTTAAAATGTTTAATTTTGAAAGGTGATTATAGTGTATTTTACATTCTGCCACTTTAMTAATTCAGACCTTTTTATTATGCAGCATTTGAATGACAGTTGCATGTGATTATCTGGAAACGTCCTATCCTTATTTCTAACAAATGAATTACTGGTTATTCTGCTGGGATCAGCTATTTGACAACTTGATAAACATTTCAGCAACATTTTGACACCTAAAGCTTTGTCCTAAATTTGTGACCCTATTGACTTTTTGGTTTGTTTTTGAAATGTTTTTATTTCACTGTCATCTACCACACATATTACCTTTATACCTCTTTCGGTCTTCATTCTTAACTTGCCTTTCTACCTTTGTTTTTTGCCGGTGTCTTTCTTTATGCCAAGAAGGTGGTGGTGGTGGTGGTGGTGGTGGGGGG